TAAAAAACATTGTCATTTGAGATCGAATAAATAAAACCCATAAAAACGCATTTCTTTATTGCAATGTCTTCGTCGTAAAATTTGAACTTTTATTTGCTTCTCTAATAGAGAGATGTTATCTTGAATGTGTTGTAGAAATGGTTCACGACTAGGGGTGTCAGCGTTCCCATTCCTAAGCGTTCTTAGGAACGGAACAGGAACGCAACTCAAATTGTGTTTTCTAGCATCGCTTTAATATGCTGAGATTGGTACATGAGTCAGTCTGTCGTTTTTTTATTAGAGTGTTTTGGCATTCGCGTTTCTAGGAACCGGAACGCATTATGTGTCACCTGTTTATTGAGAGTGGGAAATGAAAAGAAGCGTTTACAAATCTCGAAATCATCATTTTAGGACGTAATCTGATGGAAATATGAAATTCTAATAAAGTTTTTCGTTCTGTTACACAGAATGTTTCAGAAGTCATGATTACTAAAGAAAAAATTTTATCACTCCATTATTAAACTAGATTAATCGAATATTTTTTTTCGACGAGAAGATCAGTAAATTTTGCTTTTTAACAAAGACACAGTCATCAATGTTTCCTAAAAGTATTACCACCTTCGACTTCAATACGAAGAATTTGATGTTTCATTCTTCAAAGAAAAAACATGAATCAAGAGTGTGGGTGTGGGTGTGAGTGTGGCTCTTCTAATTTATCTACACCCACACCCCAGTCACCCCCGCACCCACACCCTCACCGAAATATTTTCATAATCCAAAGAGAAAGTCACAGAAATTGATGCTCGATATGTTTGAACTAATATTGAGCTTAGAGGAACGTCTTAATGAGACTTGAATTGAGAGAGAGAACGAGAAAAAAAATTTAACAATGGATTATTTTAAATTTACTCGCCTATTGTCTTTTGACATTATATTTCATCTATGAAATAGAAAACCTTATTAGCTATTCTAGGGTAAAAAATGAAAATTCGTAATTGCTTAACTTTTTACTGGAAAATCATGTAACAGACTTTTTCATAGATTACATGACTCGTGGAATATCTTGAAAGTTTTTACTGAAAAGGAATGTTATTTTTCTAGTAGTTTGAGTTCCGATTAGAGTATTCCACAGGTCATTGAGTCGATATATGGAGGAAACTTAACGTAGAAATTCTATTATTTGATTTTTGAATATACAAATTGAAAAATGACGAGAGAATCATTCAAGATGACATCTCGCGTTTTCGATGAGATCTTACGCATTAGGTAGAACTTGTCGAAAGCAGAAAAAGGCTAGAAGGATTTCTTCTCATGCACTGTTCTCCTGAGATATTGATCCTTGGTACCATAATTTTGATCTCAAACTTTGTCCACAAACAGTTCTTGAACTCGTTAGAATACTCTAAAATTTTACAGCTAAAAAGAATGACTTCTTTGTGAGACATCAAATTCCTCAAAACGATAATATTGCACAAAAAAAAGCAGTCAATCTAATTTTTTTTTTGAAGATTTAATATCTCAAGAAGAAATCATTCTTTTTGGCTGAAAATTTTAGAATATTCTAATGGGTTTAAGAACTGTTTGTGGGCAAATATTGAGGTCAAAATTTCAGAAGGACAAAGCATGAGAAGATTTCCTTGTAGATTTATTTTCTAGTTTCGATAGGTTCTACCTAATGAGGAAGGTCTCATCGAAAACGCGAGATGTCATCTCGAATGGTTTCTTCGTCAGTAAAAAGAGTTTTAATTTGATCCAATATAAACTCAACCGATGGGTATCATTTGAACGTTTTTCTAGTTGTGTTTCAATCGAACATTGTATATCAATTGATTTTGTACGTGAAGAAATATTTAAAGATTAAATTTGTATATTGTGAATCGAAATTATGTATATATAAGATAGAATAGTTACTATGTTACTCGAACCAATATTTAATTAGCCATTCTAAAAATTAATCTTGTATTGGAGATTAAGCTTTTTAAAACTCAAAAGGAAACTTTTCCACAAAACTGTTAGATTTTTAATGATTTTTTAAGCTCATTCTCTCTCCTTCAAAAAAAAATCAATTTTCATGAAGAACATGAAAACTAAGATAAGCGCACTGGATGATATCGTGAAGTATGCTCTGCCAAAATAGATATAGATTTTTTTTTATAGTTTATTGTTTTTACCAAAACTTTTTGTTGATTTCTATCACCTCAATCTGTTTTTGGAAAAGTCGAAAAATGTTTTTCATTTATTCTCAGTTCATGTTTTGTCTAACGTACAATCCAAATTTCTCTCCTTCCAGTTTCATATTATATGTTTTGTTTGAAAGAGCAAGTTAGAATACAGGACACTACCAAGTCTTTTTTTCTAAAATAAGCTTCGTTACTAATATATGAAAGAATACTTTTATTATTAGAGCGCTATTTTTGAGTTATTGAGATTTTCATTCCAGTTCTCCGCGTAAAAAATAACAATTTAAAAGAAAGGACTCTGGTATCCTCATTCATAGTGGATATGGATGAGGATCTTAGTCCTATCGTTAATTACACTCAAACCCTCGCATTCTTCATTTCGAAATACTACTATTCGATTGATTTGAATCGTTATAGTCTAAACAAAATATCAAAAACAATGAAAAAAAAAAACTAACAATGTTAATGATTTACATACAAAATTCGCTATCAATCGGAACTACTACGAATATTTATTTTCGAGAATAGTCAAGTATTTCGACTAAAAAAACTTGACAATATTGGTATTGTTTTTATTTTTATTATATTTAAACGAATTGTATCAACAATCGAAACAAGAAATATTCAGTAAATCGTTTTGATCGATCATGTTTCATATTTTGGAATAAGATCGTTCCATTTTATCCATTGATTAAATTCTAGTTGAAATATTTGATTAAATGGTAGAAGTTTTTCATTGAGTAATTCTCCTGATTTAGTAATTTTAACCTAATTCTACAGCTGAAATATCTTATGAATGTATCTAATATGATATGATCTTCTTTGTTTAAGACAAACATCAAGTGACTAAATAGATGCTTGAAGAAATATAACATGAATTTTATATCTAATGTTAATTGAAATTGATCTTTTTTTTTATGATTCATCAATGATAAAAATAATGAATCAACTAATTTTGTTAATTGTACAATGATATTTACTGGAGTTCTAAGAATAAGAACATGTTTTATTTTTTATGTATTTTATATTTATACTTACAATGGAACAATCATTTTCATTCGTGATTTTCGTTCAATTTCTGTTAAACTTTGATAAATAAAATTTAACATATTTTTTAATATAACGATCATAAAGTAAATCTTATTGTTCTTTTTCATTTAATCGATCAATCCAATAATCATCAACTTCAAATAATAATGAATAATATTCTTGTAAACGTATACGTTCTCCATTAGCTAATGTTAATAATTTATTATTACTCATAAACGAATTCTAAAAATAGAGAAGATAAAAAAAAAGAATTTTATTGAAACAATCTATCAGAAAAAAGTAACACGCCATGCTTTCAATTCAAAGTTCATCAACATCACCAGCAAATACAATACAATGTCTTTCATAATGTATTGTTGGTCGATTAATCAGTCGATTTCTCTTTAAATATAAAATATTAGCCTAGACTAATCGACTATTGACAGATTAATATAAACGATTTTGGATTAGGAATTTTAGTATATTTCATTCTATATCAAAGAATTCTTTCAATGAAACTTATCTATTGGATGAAAACTAGAATAGAAAACAATAGATGATATGGAAAAAAAAACCTACAATGAGAAATTTTCACCTGAAAATTTCCTCCATAACATACCTTCTAGTCCTTATTATATCCTGAAAGTTTCGACTTGAACGAATGCTTATCTCTTGAGATAATACATTTGCATGAAATATTATTTTTTCACAAAATTTCTAAAAACAGTCCGATTGTTTAGGTATCCCATATCTTAAGAAAAAAATCATCCATTTGAGCTGAAACTTTCAACATATAATTCGAATTATGAGATCTGTTATTGAGAAAATTTTCAGAAGAAAATTCCTTGTTACAGTTTTTTTCATAATAATCTGTGATAAGCTGAAAATTCAGTCAAATGATCATAATTCGTGATAAAAGATCTAATAAATCGAACTCTTCTAGGCGTTTTTATCTGCACTATGATTCCTACCAAAGAGTAAAACATGAGCTCAAGCGGCAGGTATCAATTGCTGAAATTCATTCGTGAACTTTGAAAAAAAGTAAAAAAAAAATTGATTAATATCCGAATTTTAGACATGAAATAGATTCCTGTGAACAAAATTTTTCGAAGCAAATTCGATTGTTGCACAGGATGAGATACACGAAATTTTTTGATATTCATTTGGAGTTGTCCAACAGAACTCTAATATATAATGAACAGAATAAGTACATTCACGTCTACATCTTTTGTTAGATTGACCTGAGTAAAACCTAGATTGAACGTAATCTAACTATGACCTGAGTTAATATTGTTTAATTTCAGATAGAACGCTAACATATATGTCACAGGCAAAATTAAACTTAGACTAAATTCTTTATAGATAGGCGAGAAAAGACGAATTTACTAATTAATTCTTTTTCTCAATCGGAATAGAGCAAAAAAATTTAACTATTTGTTAAAAATAATATTTAAAAAAAAGCAAGACATTCATTTTTACATATATAATTACATCATAAGTGCATCAGTAACATCTTTTTCAACATCAGAAGTTGATTCTCGAAAACAATTTTACGAACAAGTAAGTGAACATCTTAAATCTTTAAATAAAAAAATTCAAGCAAAGTCAGTGCCTAGGGCGTGGGTGTGGGTGTGAGAAAGAGAAGAATTATACCAACACCCACACCCCACACCCTTTCCAATCCACTATTGTAAATGTTGCTCGTCATTTTTCCGAGAAAAAA